AAGGAAGAATTATCATTCAAAATGTTAGGAAAGAAAGAATTGTTATACTTTTTCAATCTAGAATTGAGGCTGTAGTTCCAGAGCAAGCTAAACCAGAAGTACATTGTATTGGAGGCAGCTAAATCAAATGATTGCTAGTGTTAAAACTAGGAAAATGAATAAAATCTAAATGTGAAACCCTTAGAGGTGGGGAATAATGCTCCTTATGATTTGCTAACATCACTAACCAGTCTTCATAGAGACAAACTACTCACCAAACCAGAGCAAACTACACCATTAATCTGGAGTGTATCTTGCTCTGCTTCCACAGTCTTTCAGAACTTAAAAGAATTGAAAAACCAAACCAGAACTTGGCGTGAAAACATAGTTTGCTGTAATCAATATTAAAAGCAGGGAATTTCTCAAAAGATGGAAAAAGCCAATAACTTTTTGTGTATATCTATTGCTGAGCTATGAGCCCTTGTGTTAGATTTAAGCTAAGTACCACAGCATCACATTCTCCTCTCTTGTGTTCTCAAAGTCACATGGCAAACATCTGGTGATCAAAGTGAAATCACGAACTGGATAATTTCTATTTGGATGTTACTTTTTGGCTCCTCTTATCCCTGCAGCTGGAGCATTTCCTTCCAGCAGCTCTATGCTGTTTTGTGAGCAACGCTGGAAAAATGCCACAAATTTATGAAAAACTTTGAAGGGGTTTAGCGTTAACGACTTCTGCTTTCCAATCAGTACAGCTTGAATCAATGGCACTGCTGCTCAATGTAAACAGGCATAATGGGAATTTTACAAAGCAAGACTATTTGTATGTAACATCAAAACTAGCACAAAGTCCTTTCCATAAGAGTGCAAATCACATTTAGAGTAAGACCAGAGAGAAAATCAAGATTACTTTGTGATGATTTGTTGCAAAGTTCACTACACTCTTTGCTTGATAATGAATTTCACTCATATTGTCATGTATTTCAGGTTTTATCAACAGAGCGCTCAACTGATTTTAGCCCATCAGAACAAAGGTGAAAAAATTAAAAAGAGTACACATTATTATTTGATTTTCTGCAAGTAATCATAAAAACATTATTATTTTACTACAAGTACTGCCTAACCACAAATTCCAAAAAAAGGAAGGGAGAAAAGATGGAGGATGCTGGTGGGAGGATGAACATGGATTCAGGTATATGAAATATTGTGTTATTAGGTGGTAAGATTTTGCTTCCATCAGAAATAATAAATGGGAAGTGATTGCTAAATGCATTTCCTCTGCAAAGGGAAAAAAGCAGTTTCTAGTATGTTGCACTTGCAACAATCTGATTTTTTTTTGGCTCGCAATTATTTACAGTATCTTATGTACTTCAGGGATAAGTACAAGACAAGCAGCATCTTTTGTTGCCTCTCAAGTCACCCTTCCTCGCTGCTCCATGTGTGCTTTCTAACAGCTCTACACACTGACAGCATTGGTGAGTGGGTCCAAGCAGCCTTCTCCTGCTTTTGGACATGAATAAAAGCATGGCCCAATTGTAAATAATGAAAGGATTTACTGGTCAGGCCAGGCTCCAGAAGCTGTAGCACACACCAGGGAACAGCCAGGCTTGGTGCCTCAACTTCCCATGTGATACAACAATTACAGAAGTACACAGATCTTGGTCCATTTCCCTCTGCTTACATTTAGCCTCTGGCTGCTTCTGCTCTTACAGCTGCTCCTCTCAAGGCCATGGATATGCTTTTGAGTTAGCAGGAGTCACTGCACAGGGAGGCAGAGAGAAGTTGCTTTTGTCAGAGCTTTTGTAAAGAACTTGCGGGGAATCCTTCAAGAAATCAGTTCTCTGAATTAAAACTTTTCACCGGAGTTTATCCATTTCAGCAAAACTTTCAGAGAGAAAAATATCTCAAGTCAGTATTTGTGAGAAAGCAAAGAAAGAGATGCATGGCCAGCATCCCAGGACAGAGGTACCAGCCTGGAATGTCAAAGACAAAGCATTCAAGTGAACCTGAGGCAGCATTTGTTCAGTTGTAAATCCAACACTGTGCTTACAGAACACCTTCATTTTCAGGATTGTTGTCAATGCAGAAGTTGTTTGGGTGCATGAGACTCCTGGCTGTTGACTCAGGTTATGTCCTGATGGAGCAATCCATCAGGAGCCATCTTTCCTGAGGTGTGCAGTGCTGGGTGAGAGCCCAGCCTGCCCAGACCCCCCAGCCTCAGGGAAGATGCCAATAGGAGCTTGTGGTGAGTATTGAGGAGCAATGACTGGAAAGCTGCCTAAGGACTGTGAAAGTGCTCTTCCAACATCCATTTGATAATGAAGTTACTCCAATGGCTTCAGTGAAATTATCCTTACTTTACATAGGAGTCGAAGCTGCCTCAAACTGTAAAACCTACCTTGTACATCTAATCATGCAAATTAAATTAAAAACCCCCATGGAAATAGTCCAAAGAACTTTCTCTGCATGTTTCTGTAAGTCACTTAAGCCATTCAGTGAGACAGGATAATGGCCATCACTTTTCACTTGGCCAGTTCATATTGTGGCACTGGGAGGAAGACAGTCTGTCAAGTTTTTGTCTGCAGTGTCTGATTTTTCACCACACTGCTCCTGCCCTCCCTCCATTGTGTCAGGAGTGCATTAGGTGTTGGAAGGGCAACAAGAGGCTCAGCCAGTGGGTGGGGAGGCTGGAGAAGGGGAATTGAATTGTAGGCAGCCTGCAGGGTCTGTTGGAAAGGCTGTGCTGGCTCCCTTTGTGGCTGATACATATCTGTGTCCCTGTGCCACATTACATGGGAGGGATTAGAAATAGGATTTCTGATATTTCAGCTGACATGACAGGAGTGATAATTTCATGCAACTATGTTGCAAGCTAAATTCAAATATTCCACCTTTTAAAGGGATTGTATATATTTTCATCTGTGCTCTTAGGCTCAGAACCTTTTCCTGAAATGACTGATACAACAATAAAATATACTTCAAAGAGGCTAATACATAGATAATGTCCTGTCTCTCTAAGTGTACCTTACTCACACCCTAATGACTTAAATGACTACATGAAATGGCAATAAGTGTTAAAATAACCTCCAAAATCTCTGTGGATCACAGTTTATAAAAGTTTGGGAGATCTTTTGAAAATCAAAAATCAAACAGGTGCTTTTGTTTAATTTTTGGGGATGCTTTTCATTTTTAACGAAGGCCAAAAAAATAAAGAAACAAAGTCATAAAAATATCTCAACTCTAAGTAGAAGGTATCAAGGTCACTGACTATAAATATAAATAATGCTGCTTCATAAATCTTAAACAGCTTACTGCAACTACTAATATAACTTTAAAGTATTTACAAGATTAATCTTTTTAAAGTAAATTACAGGATCATAATATCAAACAAGATTATGCTCTGTCCTATATAGCATTTTACTATGCACATAGCAGTTACATGACAGCAAATATGCACTTCAGAGGTATCAAGTGGCTACTGCATGAAGGGGGTGACACTGCATGCCAAATACCAAGCACAGCAACAAGTCTTGGGGCCATCTGATCTCCCCATGCAAAATACTTTGTTAAACCTTGATAGCTTCATTCCATGTTTAATGGGAAATGCATAATTTTTCATGCCTCCATAGAAATACGCATTGAGTATCCCAATATAATATACAGGTGTAAGATTTTTGAACTGCTGGCTGTTGAAGCAGATGAAATACCAGGACTACTACAATGCACACAGTATCCTTGGATCCTGTCCTTGGAACAGAATGAAGGAACTTCTGCTAGGTTATAAGAATTTCTAGAGGTCTTGCAATGGCGTTTTCTGTGTTGGAATCATGCAGCGTGCAGTGTGCACCAGGTAAATTTTAACACAGGTCTGTTGGTTCAGGTGAGCCCTGTGCCTTATTCTAGCTAAGGATCTTGTTCACTGTAAGATTTGGCCAGCATGAGAAGCAAATCTCTCAGCAGAGGCAAGCAAGATCACCACAGGAATCCAGTTAGTAATTAGACCAATAAGCACCCTTCTAGAGCACTGAATAGTGATAAAATTTTTAAATAGAAAGCTTTGCTTGCTAAAAATTTCGGTAGTAAAGAGAATCAAGCTCCCTTTCCCATCCAAAAGCCTAAACCCACTTGATTTATGCCACTATTTCAGTAGGGCCTTGCCCAGCAAACAAACACACTGAAGAGAAGCCCAGAGTGTGCCTGTGGTTCCAGACCAGAGTGCACATCAGGATGCTGCTCTCAGAAGCTCCACCTCACTAGGTTACTGTGACTTCTGCTTTCCCTGAGCCACCCATAGATGGTGTTTGCAGTAAAGGACCACACCTGTTTCTGTGCCCTGCAACAAAAGCCCTGAGGATGTTTCTGTCTTTTTCTCTTTTGCAGCTCCCCAAGCAGAATCTGTTGCCTTGACAACTCTGGGGTGTTCTCTGGCTCCATGGATGCTGGCAGGAGGAAGGCCAATTTCCCTCCACAAAATACAGAACTGCTAAGGAATAAACAACTAAAAGTGTTCTGATTCCTTCAGCAGTGACAAAACCAGAAAGCAAATGAAGAAACTTGCTACAAACACAGAATTTTACAAGCCAGAAGCAGTGGGATTCAAGCACTGAGAATTCACAAACACAAGTAGGGAACAGAAGAAATTGCAGCTGCTCGAGGTTTCAGCAAAGAGCTGGGAATGGCTGTGGCTGAGGTCAGGCTCAGGCTCTTCTCTTTGATCACCCTTCTCTAACTGCAAGACCTCTGGCCTTCCATGGCACCACCCTTGCTGTACCATGACACTCTTTGTAAAGAAGGTGATAAAAATGAAAACAAAATTAAAACAACACTAAAAAGAAAACAAAATTAAAACAGCACTAAAAGAAATTTTAAAAAGTTTGCAGTTTTCACTGCTTTTGTGTATAACCTTTCATAATATTGAGTAGAACTAACTTCCTTTATTTCTAATTTTGAGCAGCGTTTTTATTTTTTTACTTCAACTCAGCTTCAAATAAACATGTTTTTGAAGCAAAAAAAGAAGACACAAGAAAACTGATGGTCAGGAAAGAGATCACAGTAGCTGCACTCCACTAGAAAGGACAGCAGACAGGTGATGTATGAAGCACAAAGGAAACATGGTGCCTTGAAGCTCTGTTTTTCTGTGTCCTGTAACTGAGCTGAGGGCTACTCAGCTGTGTGACCATTCTGTCACATCTCACCGCATCCTTGAGGAACATCACATCCATTGAAGGACAGATATGCTGTTGTAATCTTTAAACTCCTCATTACCTTAAGCACATATAAGCACAAAAGCTTTTGGCTTTTCTCATTTATCAAACCTTCCCCTCCTTCAAGGGTTAGCCAAAGCACAAGCTGTGCTGTATCTACTGCCAGCAGATATCTAATGATAACAGATTATGTGCACCCTTTACCAGAAATAAATGATTTTTGAAAGTATCCATTAGTAATTAAGCTGGATTTTCAGAGCCAATACAAGCTAAAAGTACAGGAAAAGCTACTCACAACTTCATGATGCCAATAAAATCTGTAATAAAAAAGCAATGCACTCTGTATTCCAAAAGGCTGCAGCATATCAATACACACATCTGACAAAAGCACCTAACACCACTGAAGCTCCAGCATGTATTATTGTATTTTATTCAAGGAAAGCATAGACAAAAGCTACTGGAGGAACATTTCTGCTAGCAGTTAAATTTAACATGCAACCAGGTATGACCAGGCTTGATACACCAACCTGCTAGTCAAACTAATAGCACTTCTATTTTAAGCTAAATGAAAGGGGATTAGGTAAGAAAACTCCCTCTATTGACCACTGACATTGTTTATTACATAAAAGGTAATTGCTTGGAGAAGAGTCCACCTCTTTTTGCTGCAGAAAATGTCTTGGTTTGCTGTTAACCCTTCTCCCATTACAGTGCAGCCACACTCGTGCCACTGCTCACAGAAGCATAGAGAGCCTTCTGCGTGATTGAGGGCAAGAACTTTGTAATGCACTACCTTTATCTGTCATATTTTGGTCTACAGCAGTAAATTTTGTATGCCTCTACTGACTACTCCCTGGAAATATGGTAAAGATGTGGCCTTTTATACAAAGATAAGGTACACAGAAATGATATCCAGAGAAAATATGGTAATAGAAAAGAACAGGCTCAAACAACAATGAACAGCTCACAGTCAAATCCAAAAGCATTAGAAGATTTCAGGCTGTGTTGGTAGAGTACAAATCCATCTTGGATCAAATTATTCACCCATTTACTGTGGTCCCTCGCTTGGCCTGGCAATTAGTTCAACTGTGGAATGCTACTTAGGAGTACATTCACAATCCCTACATATTCTCTGCAGCACAAATGCACTTTGGGAAGGAAGAACTGGATCCAGGCTGCCCATTGTAAACAAAACAGCCATTACTTCCCCAGAGGTGCTAAAGCTGTGCCTGGAAATAAAATGAAATAAAATAAATAAAAAATTAAAAATAATTACAAATAAAACATTTCCAATTTCCTACTTGGTATTCTGGGCAATGTGAGGGAATTTACTTAACCTTTCATGCCTCTGTTTTGTCATCTCTAAAACAACAATCACACTACCGCCTTCACAGGACTCACTGCTATTTTTTGGCTCTGACAGGGCTGTGAATTTTTCTGATCTATGTAACATACATGTGGAGCTTGGAAATTCTGTGCATTCCTGTAAGACAATTCTCTCTTGTTAGGCCATAGAAAAAGCTCATCTGTTAAGCAGAAAGTTTTGTTAGCAAAATTAATTCAGCAAAACAACAACAAATAAGGAAAACCCAAATCTGATCTTTAACACATTGTTGAGGAACTTACCTGCACAGACAGAAGGTAGAAATTAATGTCAGTGGATGGGCCTGATTTGCAGAAAGAGATTTTTCCATTTTGTTTAAGAAACAAAGTGAAGGAAAAAGCTGGTTTTAGAATTACAATTTGAAATGCCTGTTGGAAAAACTAGGAAAAGCAAAAGTATATTTTGCCCTCTCTTTTTCGTACTACTTCTGATTCATCATTGCATGACACAATTTTTGCAACAACTTACAGTAAAATATTGAAATTGCTTTAATCCCTTAGGGATGTAAGCTACTTTGTACATGCGTAAATAAACTGCTTTATGCTAAGCACTGAGTCTCAGACTCTTCCCCAAAATTGTTTAAAGTAATTTTGGATATAATTAGCAACCCCTGAGAACGCAATTAGTCTATGCCTGGCAATTCTGCAGTAATGATTCCCCTCTTGTCAAATGGGTTTTAAATTGAAAGGTCATTTTGGATAATAATTTCTATGATTTTACCTCTCTTTCCCCTCAAAGTTAAGACTTGAGTTAACTCGTGGTTAAGGGAAATGAACATGTTTTCTTGGAGAGTTTTCAAAAGGTAAAACCTTGATCAATACAGAAATCTTTCAGAGCTGCAGTTTTGTTTCTCAGAGTAAGTCCTTAGCTTTACTTCCAAATTCCTCAGAAAGCTGCTACTCATAGCATCAAACACAAGGGTGATTTTTAACAAGTTTTGTTCTTGAGTCTGTAGAATTTGCTCCCCTTATGCACAATGCTGCATTTTCCCTTGCATTTGTCTGCTTTCTCTGAGTACAAGCAGGCCCTTCAGCTGACTGGTGTCAATGATAATAACAATACATTTTTATTTTTCTACCACTCAAATCTAAAGGCAAGTTAGCTCTGCACATGTATGCACCCACATACAAATGTAAGTAATATGTGAACATTTCCAAAGGACAACAAGTCCTTTTGGAATAGTAATGAATAGAGAAATCATCTTGTGCCCTGCATGAGATAGGTGCATTTCAAAATTTTCCTGTATAGCTTCCATGAAAATTGGCCCCTAAGCAAGGGTGTGAGTCATTGATGAATACAGCTCTGAGGCTTCACGCTGTGCAGCAAGAGCTGTAAAAGGCATTAGAGGAACAGAGGGGAGGAGGAGGAGAGAGAGAGAGGGTTAGGAGGTTATTAAATAAAACCCTGTAATGGTTTTACACGAACGTTTTCTGAGCAGCGTTGGGAGCCGGCACACCCCGGCAGCGCCTTTGCCGGGCGGGGCGCGCAGGGGCTGCTCTGCCCTCCAAAATCGCTCCTGCCCCGCCAAGAGCGCTGCTCTCGCTGCTGCCCGCCCGGCACCTGCGAGTAACACGAGTTACCCTACGGCACATTGTCCTGGGGTAACTTTTCAAATGAATTTTGCAGCAAAAGGATGGGGATTTTGTCCTCCTCACCCATCACACAAAAGCTGCTGCACTGTACCAGCAATATTGCAGCCTTTGCCAGCACAACTATGCAAAAAGTGTAGAACAGGATAAAGAGAATAAATTTAAGCTTCCTCAAACTTCAAAAGAATTTGATTTAGGCTCATATTTGTCCTTTTTTACCCCAAGATCAATGTATTAAATTGTTGTTAATTTATATAATTTGCTGGTTAGTGATAAACAGAACTGGTAACACATCAGACCTGAATTATGAGCAATTCTCCTTTTTCATGCAGTTGTGCTTCTCCCACCCAAGTCAGGAGCTCCAGGTTTTGATAAAGACATTGGGCCTTATGAGCAATTCTCCTTTTTCATGCAGTTGTGCTTCTCCTACCCAAGTCAGGAGCTCCAGGTTTTGATGAAGACACTGGACTTTAATCAATATTTCAGTCATTATCATGCCAGATCCTCCCTCCTTCAGACTTCCTGAATATCCTGATCTCACACTCACTTGTGTGATCCCCTCAATCTCTCTCCCTGTTTTTGCTTCATCCATTTTGCAGCAGCCTTAGTGCACCCATCTCAAAGAGAAGATACAGTGTGGGTCATTACATCCCATCATCAAACACCCTGCCACTTGCAGGTTCACGTGGGAAATTGATTATCAACAATGATTAACTGACACCAACTGGCTACACGGGGTTAGTTATAAATAATCCAGCAAAACATTAAATGAGTCTTTTTTCAGAGGATAGCTTAGATGTACAGTCAGGAAAAAATATTTCCCCATATTTTACATAGCAAAGGTATCATGTATTAGAAAGAAATCCATAACTGAAATCTTTATTTTCACACAGATAACTGTTTAAGGAGATTACATAAACAAAAATGATGGTTTTTAAGACGTACAAGAGGAGCTTTAAGTCTTTTGAAGGCCAGAAATAGTGGTACTAAATTTAAGTCTTTTGAACAAATGGGGACAGTGGTCTACATTAGTGAAAATGCAACCTAAAAGGAATAAACAGAAAAACTGTTTCTCATGCTACAGGTACTCCTGTTCCTCTAATACCTTTAAGAGATATTAAAAAAAAAAAAAAAAAGAAACAAAACCACCTTCTATGTATATGTATATGTGTATATATATAAGAACAGGAATTTTATATTCCCTTTAACTGAAGAGTCGATAACTGACTGGAGCTATTTTAAAAAGAGACACCAATAAAACCCCCCTGAATCCACAGACATGCAGCACCATCTGGTGGATTAGCAGGTCTGGCAAACAGTTCTGCATTTCCTGCATTTACTGAACACATTTCCACAGGCAGGAGAAGAGAAAAACCATGCAAACAAAAGCATCTCATGGAGATTTGTTTAGTCAGCATCAGGCAAGAGAAAGTGAGCAGGGTGGAATTTCCATGAAAATTGTGAAATAATACTCTTTGCTCATATAACACTTTATACTTTTCAGACACTATGTATAAATCTGGACTCAAAAATATGTGAACAGTACACTTATGATGACAAAAATTCAAAAGTTTGGTATGCAATTTAACTAACTGCTCCAAGATTTATTTAATTTGATTTCCTTCATACATGCATTAAGGCATGTGTTTATAAATTACCATTTTTTCACTTGCTTAGTGAACAGGACTGATTGCTCACCTTATAACACTTTTCCAATAATTTGCTTTCTTCTTCTCAGGCGCTATATGGCCTCATGTTCTTTCACACAAAAGCTCAGCTTGGAGAATACAGGATTATCAGGTGCTCATCACTGCAAAGCCACAATGAATTACAGGTGTCAGTTTAAAACCCCTGCAAGGCAAGTTGCATTTATTCTTCACATAAAGGGAGTAAAAGGAGCTTCTCACTTAGGGTAGGAAAGGAAGGGGCCCTTATATGCACCCAGGGATGTGCCATTGTAGTCTCTGCTGTCTCTCTAGTAGCTTGTAGTGTCTTTAGAATGGCACCTTCCCATTGAGCCAGGTCACCTCCCTGCACTCTGCAATAGGTGGCTCTTGGCACACAGCCCTTGAGGGGGTCAAAAGGCTCAGTCCTCTGCAGGCACTCACCCAACACTGTCCAAGCAGCTGAGGCTCAGCTGAGGCTCCCTCCTTGTCATCACAGCCCTGCATCACCTCTGCACGGATCCCTTTGTGCTAATCCCCATTTCTGACACTGTGCCGAGAGCTGCTGGTCCTAAGATGTTGTTTTGAAAAGACACCTGGCTACACATGTCCAGCTTCTAGATGTCTCCTTCATGTATGCTAGAAACAGGAATATATATATATATATATATATATATATATATATATATCTTAAGTCTGAATTTTCTGCCTAAAGAAGTTTCCCTTCTTCTTAATGGCCATATATCCCAGCTATCTTTCTGCACCATCTGCATCTTTGTCTTGTCCACATTGGTAATGAAGGTCCCATCATCCCATGTTCCTCAGGAAGGCACTAACTGTACTCAGCACATCATTCTCACAATCAGACACATCAGTGTCTTCAACTCACATCAGTGAGTTGAAGACTGGGAAAGTGTACATACAGCAAGATCAAAACACAGGTCACTGGCCATCACAACTCCATACATCCCAGAGGGTAAGCAGGAAGGTGGCTCCTTGCTGCCAATTATTGTCTCAAGACACTGTTATCCTTGATGCTTCAAAAATATAATTCAGAGTTGCTTACAACCATCCACAGCCAGCCCTTCTTACAACCATCCACAGCCAGCCTTGCCAGGTAAGACAAGAGGCAAAAAAGATCTTCCTCATGACATCTGTATTTTTTTCACAGGTAGCTTGAGTCATTGAACCCTGTACTATTTGTTTATTTTTAAGAAACTGTTGCCCCCATACATTGTTGTTCCTTTTTTCTTCAATACTTTAAGAATAATGCAGGACTGTTCTCAGGGGATGATCAGTGCAATAATCTGCACAATACTTCAAGTCACACTTTTGGTGCATCCTCATCAGGCCTGACTTCCACTGTCCTTCAGCAAACTTTTCTTCTCTAAAAATATCCCATAATACATTTATAGATATGTAGCAAGACCTATGTCTTCTGTGGTCTGTGTTGGTAGTCTGTCATAGGCCCATATTTGTAAGAAATCTCACTGCAAACTCCTTGCTCCTCCAAACCACCTCCCAAAAATTTGTCAGCACTTATTGCTGTTTGGCTCACCTTTGAATCATGCTTTGAATACTTCCTTTAATGTCTTTTCAGATGCTTTAGCCAGACAATTATCACCAATGGAGGGCTTCTGCATCAAGGCTACCCTTCCTTTTTTTAGAGACTTTTTACAAGATCATGTAGTGACAGGACAAGGAGGAATGGACCCAAACTAAAAGAGCATAGGTTTAGATCAGATATTAGGAAAAAGTTCTTTTCTATGAGGGTGGTGAGGCCCCAGCACATGTTGTTCAGAGCTGCTGTGGCTGCCCCATCCCTGGAATTGTTCAAGGCCAGGTTGGATGGGGCTTGGAGCAACTTGGGCTAGTGGAAGGTGTCCCTGCCCACAGCAGGGCTGGAACCAGATGAGCTTTATTGTCCCTTCCACCCCAAACCGTTCTATGGCTCAGTGATTCCTGCCAAGAGTGCTGTGTCTGCCTTGGTCTGCGAATGGTGGAACTCAGGGGCACAGGGTAATTTACGGAGATGGTTTCACAAGGTGACAGGCAAGTTCACAAGGACTGACATTAGTGTTTATGGTCACCTGAGCGCAGCGTGGCTCGGGAAACCCACCTGCTAGTTGTGGAGACAATGCCAAAGGCCTGCTCACAAACAGGACACACACAGTGTACCCTCTCAGACCCCCGTCAGGCGGTGTCCCCAGGGCAGGTGCTGTCAGCCCCAGACCTCTTTGGTGTCCCCAGGGCAGGTGCTGTCAGCCCCAGGCCTCTTTGGTGTCCCCAGCGGCAGATGAGCCGCACCTCTGCCGGCCCACACGCGGTGGATCTGGCAGAGGAGCGGGGTGCTCTGAGGGGCTGCCGGCGGCTCTGGGGGTGACACCCTCCCCTGCAGCACAGCCACGAACGGCACAGCCCGTGCCCGGCCCGCTGTGCCTCAACGAGCCGCGTCCATCCTCAGCGGGCCCGGCTCGGCCCGGTCCGGCCCGGCTCGGCTCGGCTCGGCCCGGCCCGGCCCGCGGGCGCAGCGGGGGCGGCGCCGCCCGAGGCCCCTCCCGGCCGGAGCCGCCGTTGTCGCCGTTGCCAAGCGCCCGGAGCCGCCTCAGCCCCGGCCGTGCCGCAGCCCCGGCCCTTGCGGGCCCCTCCGCGACCATGGAGAACCCCACGGCCGCCTCGGTGCTGGCCGATCTGCAGTGGGATCCCGGCTATGCTCTGCCTGTGGCCAACGCCGAGAACAAGGCGCTGGAGGAAGAAGTGAGCGCGGGGAGAGTAGCCCGGCCTTCCCGCGGGCCGGGGAGGGAGGGAGGGAGGGAGGGAGGGATGGATGGATGGATGGATGGATGGATGGATGGATGGATGGATGGATGGATGGATGGATGGATTGAAACCTCACGGGTTCCGCGGAGCTGCCCGGCGATCCCCGCATCCCCCTAGCCCCGCAGGAGCAGCGGTGCGAGTTGTCCCTTCCCTCGGCAAACTCCGAGTTTTCTCCTGAAATCTCTCATTTCACTGCTTTGGAGGGATGCAGCAGCTACTTCTTACGTTATTTTCTCATTAATACTTGCAGTGACTGTTTTTAGGTAATTGCAGGTAATAAGCACTTGACCACAAACAGTAACTTGTCGATTCTGACTCTTAAACAGCTGCACAAGTTGCAAAAGGAAAAAGAGGACCTGCAGAATGAGTTGACCAACTGTGAGGAGCGCATAGAGGCAATGACATCTCATTTGAAAAACGTCAGACAAGAGATAAACTTCTCTCAGGTAAAACACCCTCCCCCTCTAGCAGGTCAGTTTAGACAGACCTGTAACCTGAGTATCTCTCTGTGCCTGGTGGCTCTATCTATTTTGCCAGCTTTGTTAGAGATTTGTTAGGTCTTTATTCCAGAATTTCCACAGGAAACAAAAGTTAAGCTACGTACTTCAGTGTTATTATTTGATGGTCATTAAGACCATCCAAATTCAAAGTACTGTACCTAGGAAAAAGGCAGGAGGGGTGCATTTTAGAATTCTTCCTGAATGGGGACTTTTGTAGACATTAATAGAAAAAAAATTGGTCAAGGAAACACCAGTGTAAGGGAAAAAAAATTATAATCTTTAGAATGGTGAAGAATTAGTTGTGATATGCTGGTGAAAACTTAATTCACAGACCTGAAAAATGAATTGAGATGGTCAAGATCTAAGTCTTTACCTACGTTCTGAATTAACTGACCAAAAGGGCTGGTTTAGACTTCTAAAGAGTCTTGAGGCAAAGATTTACACCTTTCAGATAAAATATCCTGGTGAAAAAGTCTTAAGGAACTTCTCTGCAGCTGAACAACTTCTTGGGTTTTTTTGGCCAGGTTCAAGCATTAATTTGAATTAAGGGAAAGAAAGGTTAAGCAATATCCAGGTGCTGTTATAGCAGGGGAGATCTCTCTCAGCACAGAATGATAGAATAATTTTTATGCTGTGCCTCCTGGATCTGATCACCAGTAATGTCACTGGTGATCAAGAGCATCAAGATTTTGGTGCTGAAATGTTAAGATTCTAAATCTTGGGTGAAAAATCTTGGAATTGAGGTTTTAGGGCTACAAAAGGGCTACAATCTGTGAATACTTGATACAATGTGTACATATGTATACGTAACAATATGTGTATTTAAGATACTAAAATCAAATCAATAAATTTTCTCTGAAAATTCCTTCATTTACATGGTGAAACCATCTCTGACTTGAGATTCAATTATATATAAAAGAAAAGATTGCTGATGTGTGCCTTTTGTTTATAGTAAAATACTGAACTTTATTATTCTGCAGTCTCTTTACAAAGCCAAAGAGAGTGAAATTGAAACTGAGCATCACTTTAAAGCCCTTGCTGAGAGAGAATATGGACGTCTCAAAAGCGACATTAAACGACTGAAAGATGAGATAGCTTCCTTGAGAGAAAAGAGAAACACTCAAGAAGTAAGGTTTGAAATGTTTGTAAGGGAGCACCTACATTGCAAAACTTTATGGCTTGTCCTCACTTGCACATGGTAGTATGTCATTAATAGTTAATTACAACAAAGCTTATAAACTGCAGCAGATGATCTGGATGGGCTTTTCCCTGTGCAGGCAAGTAAAATGACACTGAGGATGTTATTGCGTAGACTGGTCAGGACTTAGCAAATATTAATTAGATATTAAAAGAATTCTGTTCTTAATGCCAGATACACAGCCATGCATCCATCTCACTGTATTTCTAATTCTCACAGGTGTTTTCTTAATGTTTTAAAAATCAAATGGTTGGTGGCAAATCTCTGCATAAAATAAACTTGGGTCGTAATTTCAAGATGAAAGATTTGGTTTAAGTTACAAAGTAATCTAATGCTATTCAGTTACAGGTGGTCTTTTGGGTTTGAAACTGTCTCTTTTTCTTTCTATTCATTATTTAATTTTTTTTTTAGATTTGCTCTTTTTCTTCTTAAGTCTGTTTGTAACTCCAGTCTCTCAGAATGGGTAGCAGGATGAAGATATTCACACTGTTCATCTGGATCTAGATTCTCTCATTTTTGTGTCAGGATGTCTCTTCACAGTCATGTGAAGAGGTCACATTTGAAAATTGATATGTAGGATAAGGGTCCTACATAAGGTCTAACAACTGGGCCTCAGTGAGTGAGGGAGAAACCTTCCCTTTGGATGTCTCAGATCAGTTTATTATATGGAACAAATACCCTGCAGATGGGTATATCTTGCCAGAGGTTGACTTTTCTGTTTAAAATTATTTGCATTTTAAATTTGTGGCAACCTACTGGCTTGTTTCTTCTTTAAGACCAGGATGTCCAATAGCATTCCTCAAGTATAATTACTAAAAAAGAAAACTATCAATTCTGTGGACAAGATGTGGGCAGACTTGTTAGCAGTAACTTGAACTGGTTGCTTCAATTATAATTCAATGGATATTAGATATTTGATATTGAACCTTTCATGTTCTCTTCTTTTATTAGAATACTATAATAAAGCACACTAAGAAGCTGGAAAATTTAAAACAACAGATGGACTGGGATGAGGAACTTCTGGAGAGCTGGCTGAAGGAATTAACCCGCACAGATAATGATGCCAGTGCAATCCAGAAGTATGCACTGCAAGATGAAGGGAAACTAGGAGTAAGTAGAAATGACAGCAATTTTCAGAAACAAAAGGAAGAATCATTTTATCACTTGAAGACCTTGTTATGTTATCAAGTCAGATAAAATGAAGACAAGATTTTGTACAACACTGCTTTGAACCTGGTTTCCATTTGGCACAACAGTGCAATTCCACATGAGACTCATTTTGAAGTTGAGAGAGCAAGTTTTACAATAATGAGAGACACAATTGAAGACATTAATTTGCTTATTCATCTGCATAAGATTTAAGTTTAAATTTTTTTGAGAGGATGCACAAATAGATAATGAAGTCTAGAAAACAGGGCCACTGAATTAAAAGAAGTTAGTTCAAAAATTCACCCAAGTATGAGTGAATAGTGTAGGATTTCCCTTTAGAACTGAATTTATTACTATTGCTGTTGCATTTATTAATGTTGCTGAGAACAAATTACAGATGCTTCAGTAAAGCTATCTGGGATAATGGAAGACATAAACATATATGTCTGTATAAAGAGGAATTCCAATCAAAAGTTCAGAGTTTATAAGGGTGAGTTCCCAAGTATATTATTAATAAAGAGGTAAGTAACCCTGGTTATTACTCTTTTTAAATATTCTTTTTTCTTTATTTATTAATATTATTATTTTAAATTTTTCATTAAATAGAGTAAGGAGAAATTTGATTTTTACTCATTAAATACTTAACCCAAAAACTTTGGTTTACACAATCACTCTCACTGCTGTATGCCAAGGACACCACACACACATTTAAACACAGTTGAGGGTTACTTTGGTCTTGCTGAAGTTTGGTTCTTATGGCCACTTGTATTGACTGAAAATTTGGGAGGCTGTGCTGTCAATTTTTTGTTATCTAAAACACAATAAAATTGATGCCTCAATAATTTAAGCCCTGATTATAGCAGGGCTTTAAGAATTTATAAAATGTGATCTATTCTCAAATATTTTCATGTTCTTTCATTTTAGGCATTAAACCTTCAGATAGAAAAGTTGACCATGGAAGCAAACCAGAAGCGCAGAGCTCTGGACAATGAGCTTACAGAAACCATCACAGCCCAGGTTTGTGCTTAAGGTTCTCAAAGATCCCTTGTCTATATGTGGCATTTTAAACTTCAGAAATCATGGAGGTGCTTTCTTTTAAACAGATGGAGCTTGACAGAGCAGCTGAGGATTTTCGCAGGGTTCATCAAGAAAGGCAAGAAGTCATCAGGCAGTGGGAGAATGCAATTCATCAGATGCAGAAAAGAGATCAGGAGATAGATCAATGTGCTTTGGTAAAACTGCTGTAACTGATCCATTTCTGGGGTTTGGGTTTGATGTGGGGTGGTTTTTGTTGTTTTTTATTTAACATCAAAACTACAGTATAATTTTCTGGGTAGCTAATGTTTTACTTAACCTTTCAAAATGCACAATTTTCACTGAGTAGCTAGAAATCTGTCAGGTAGTAAGCATCATTAATGCTGGTAATTTTCCTGTTTAATTTCATCTGTTTCAAGTCTACCTGAAGTTCTGCTTAGCTTCTTTTTTCCCCAATTCAATCAATAAAGAATTATTTTATTTTCATAAGAGTTTACAGTGTCTTTTTGTTTTTAAATTATTGAAATATTTTGGAAGTTTCCTGTCCAAAACCACTGCAGTGTTTGGTGTGATATATCCATGGAATAAAGTAATTTTAAGAATGATAACTGGGCTGTCTCAGGAAAATAGTAATCATAATAGGAGTTGATCTTCTGGTTGTACCCTTTATTAATCTAACACAACTCATGCAAGCAAATCTAAAAAGTTTTTATGCTGACAGCTAATTGCAGAGATAAAACAGGAGATCCGAAACAAGGAAATTTTGCTGAG